GGCGGGAGCGCCACTGCGCTCCCAAGCAGTGCACTGTAGCAGTGCACCACCAGGCCGGCCCGGCCCCACCTTTCAATTACCAAAATAGGATTTCCCACCCTCTTAACACTGTTACAGTGGGGTATAAGTTTCAATGAGTTTGCAGGGTGACATTCAATCCATAGCAGTACATTTTTCTTCTTTGTGATTTTTCTAAATTGCTTTAAAATTTAAAATATATTGTTTTTATATTCACTCTTTTTTTTTTTTTGGTGGCTGACCAGGTAGTATGGGGATCTGAACCTCTGATCTTGGTGCTACAAGGTTGTGCTCTAACCAACTGAGCTAACTGGCCAGCCCTATTTCTATATTCAGAAAAAAGCAATAGGGTTGTATTCATTTTGAATAAAAGTGGGCAGGCTACTGAATTTCATAGCAGAGGACTGGGATAAAGTCCCAGATCTATTGCTTTGAACCTCACTTTTCTTTTCTCTGAAATGGGGATGGTAATATCTGCCCTGTCTATCTCTAAGGGTAGTTGTGAGAGTTACAAGGAACTTGGCTGCATTCTGTTCATGCCCAAAATGTGGAAATACTTTGCAAATTATAAATGTTTTATTTATTTTTTATTTTTATTTTTTATTTTTTTTAAAAAGATGACCGGTAAGGGGATCTTAACCCTTGACTTGGTGTTGTCAGCACCACGCTCAGCCAGTGAGCGAACCAGCCATCCCTATGTGGGATCCGAACCCGGGGCCTTGCTGTTATTAGCACCGCACTCTACCGAGTGAGCCATGGGCCGGCCCAAATTATAAATGTTTTATAAACATGGTATATTACTGTCTTGATTTTCACATCAGAGATTCAATTTTATTCAAAAACTAAATATGCAAACATATGTCATTAAAGCATAATGATAGACCTTTTTGTTTACAAAAGAACGAAAAACTGTTTTGGGGCTGGCCGGTTGGTTTAGTTGGTTAGTGTATGGTGTTGTAACACCAAGGTCAAGGGTTTGGATCTCTGTACTGGCCAGCCACCAAGAACAAGTAAACAAAACAAACAAATAAAACAAACAAACCCCCCCCAAAAAACTGGTTTTTTATTTTTTATTATGGAAAATTCTAAACATATGAATGAGTAGGCAGAATAGTATAACAAACTGCCATCACCTAGCTTCAGTATCAACTGACTGCCAATCTTGTTTCATCTACACCTCCCACCTACTCCCACCTTCTCCCATGTTAACATTATACCAGACTTTAAACTTGACAGCTCTGTAACTTTCATGTACACAAAAGAATATTTCAGTTCTTTTGAAGTTGTTCACTTCAAAACAGAAAGTTGTTCACTAGAAAGACAGTTCAAGTTGTACACTTTAAAGGGGTAAATTTTATGGTATGTGACTTATATCTCAAATTTTTAAAAAAAGACAAGAGTTAACATATGTACAAGACTTAGCATAAACGTCTGGCTTTTAGACATCTCATGAATGGTAAATTCTCATTCATGGTGTTGTTGTTATTTTTTTTTTTTTAAGATGACTAGTAAGGGGATCTTAACCCTTGACTTGGTGTTGTCAGCACCATACTCAGTCAGTGAGCTAACCGGCCATCCCTATACAGGATCCGAACCCGCGGCCTTGGTGTTACCAGCACCACACTCTCTCAAGTGAGCCACGGGCCAGCCCATGGTGGTGTTATTTTAAGCTCTAATATGACTACTAAGGGGTATTGGAACATCCCACCCGATAATATGCCACCTGGCACATTGATTATTTTGAGCTAAAGGCAATTGAGAAACAGCTGAAGCAGGAATGGTTCTCTGTCCTCCCCGCTTTCTACCTAAAAGCAGAGCATTAATTTCCCATGAGAAAAGTGCCCATGATACCATCCCCACAATCAAGGTAATAGACATATCCTCCCGAAGTTTCCTTGTGTCACTTTGGGATTTTTTTTTTTTTTTGTCCTTTTTGAGACCAGCCGCACCAGGCTCAGCCAGTGAGCTCTGTGAGTGCACCGGTCATCCCTATATAGGATCCGAACCCATGGCGGGAGCGCTGCTGCGCTCCCAGCGCCGCACTCTCCCAAGTGTGCTGCGGGCTCGGCCTGGGATTTTGTTGTTGTTGTTAGTTAGTTTGTTTGTTTGTTTGTGGTAAGAACACTTAATATGAGATCTACTGTCTTAAACTTCAAATTGCAGAATACTGTATTAACCACAGACAACGTTATACAGCAGATCTCTAGAATTTATTCATCTATCATAACTGAAACTTTATACACATTGAATCACTTTTTTATAAGGTTTAGAAAACATGTGAAACAATAGTATATAACTGTTGGGAAAATATAGGAAAATGGTCAGGGCCCCTCAGATGTTCAAAATCTTGCCAAGCACTTGATGTAAATATGCACGTTTGTCCAGGTGTTCCAGCATTTGATGTAAATATGCACATGTGCCCAGGTGTTGGTTATTGTCTAATGTAATTGTGCATGTGCACCCAGGTGTCATGGGTTATGGACTTAAGTATAAAGGATGAGTGGCTCTGATCCACCACGCCTCCTGCCCCGGGGGGGGCGGGGGGTGTTGGGGAAGCCGCAACTGCTGCTGGAGGCTGTTGCTGCCAGGGCTCCCAGGATGCCCCGAGAGGCCGCCACCACTGACCTCATGTCGTCTGCCAATGGCTCCTAGGACCTTTCCCAGTTACCTAGTGTGGACCTGTGTGTGAGGGTCCTGGTGACCCAGTCTGTACAATGGGTCTGTGGGCCCTAACCCCTAGCCATAGCAATACAGGGAGGTGGCTGGTCTGCATGGTCTTCCCAGAGGAGGGATCCCAGCCTGGGAGGGGTGAGAGCCCAGGAAACTGAAGCAAGCAGAGGAGCTGTGGGATGCTGGCTTCCTTCCAGGAATTTCGGCTGATCCTCTCATCTGGGTTCATTACACCATGTGATATCAGGGGAGGCTCCTGTCTTAATTCTCCCACTCGCGGCACACCCCCTCAGTCCTCCAAGCCCTCCCCAGCCTCGCCAGTGGCCACTGTCCCTCCAAATCTCTCCCTCACCACTATGCTTGATGTTGACCTTGTCATGCACCCTTCCCCTCTGTGACACTGGACCCTCCCAGTTTGTTATTTTAAATCCCAGAGCAGCTGCTTTTTCTCCTCCTCTGTGGGTTTCTCTGTCCCTGCTAGCCCTTCCATGACGGGATTATCACGACCCGGTCCTAGCCATCGTATCTTCTCCCTCTGCAGTTCCTTAAACAGGATCCAAATTCATTTCATGGATTCAGTACACACATCATTTATGTGCAAGAAACTGTGTTAGGTGCTTCTGCCGTGCAGCAGTGGGAAGCAAGGTGGCCAGGTCAGCTCTTGGCATGTGTCGAGCAGATCTCTGTTCAGCAAGTGTGCAGTGTGCACTGAGGACCATATGTGTACGTCTTTGTGCTTGCTGCATGATGCTGAACTCTCGTCCATAGCCCAGAGGTGGCAATCACAGTATTTAATGTCAGTCCACTTGGCACAGACCATTAGCATGGGTCCCAGCCATAAACTTCACACTCAGCCTTACCTGGGGACCAGCAGTTGAGTATCTGCCCCAACTACTCTGTTCAAAACAGGAAAATACATGTTTAAAATGGAGCAGCTGCTTTGGGATATCTTGTAGACGATTAGAAAAATACTTGACTATGCATCTCGGTGTCAGAACATTTTCTCCTTTTAGCTTTATTATATATCATAATTTGTCGTATAACCTTTCTACTTTTGTTTTAAAATAAGCACTGTGAAAATTTAAACAGATTCATCAAGATTTCTAAAACAAGCAAAACTCAGGTGGAATTATTTAACTATTCTACTTAGGAAAAAGTTGCAATAATTGAAACATCACAAAGCCCAGATGTTTCTTATGACTTTGCTAATGACGTGACTCACCAAGAAACTTCAACGTCTCTTGATGAACATTCTATTTAACTCCGTGAAGACAGCTATTACCGGGCAGCTACTCATCAGTAGGCAAGTGAATTCAATAGCTACTGGATCTTCAGCTCAGACGTTGCTCAGTTACCAAGAGGCCAGCATTTGGAGATTGTGGCCTGTGGATGGATAAACACCAGGCTGGACGACAGCATCTTACCATACGTAGTGATTCAGCAGCTCAGTTCCTCAGCTTACCCAGTTGTGAGATAGAGACACCTTCCCTTAATTACCTCCTTCTGGGGATGCCCATAATAAATGCTTGTGTAGCTTACTTGGAGGACTTTGAAATAAAAGGTCCACCTGTCATGAAAGTGGAAGGCCCGGGAAGGTGTCGTGATCCCTACCACACAGCAGATAGTCCATCCTCACCAGCCATCTGTCTGCGGAAGCCGAACTGAGCGTCTGTGATTGGAGCCACCTCGAGCGAACATGGAGCCGTCTCCCGGGGATGTGAGCTGGTCAGCACGTCCTTCTGGGCCTTTCATTCTCCAACTGGCCAGTAATTTAGAATTTACTCTAAGTAATTTAGAAATTACTCTAAATTTCAACCCTTTTAAATAATAACACTGGCTTATTCATTAAAAACAGTGAATTGAATGGTAACCATGTTCTCCCCTACTAAATTTCCCTAAAACGGTGGGGCTTGTTTTCTTCAGATGACCACAGCTTATTTACTGATTAACTGAGTGTCCTTTGTTTTCTTGTCCTTGCACCAAAAAAAAAAAAGTCCTTCTTAAATATTACCAACGTTCGTTGAAGAGATTTCCTTTTCTTGCTTGAAGAGATATTTCCTGCTTAAAAATGAGCATCTCTTCATCTGGTCTCCTGCTCAATTCAGCCAATCTTTTTATTTCCCTAGGATCCTTAGCAAAATAGACAGGACCAATAGATAGCAGTTATTGATTACTACAGTCTTGAAAACTGTGAACAAAAACTAAATTTCCTAATCTCACTCACAGTGATAATACTAGCCTGCAACTGAGTATCCAGATTCGTGAGTAGACTATATAGTCTTGAAAAGAAAATTCAAATCGTAAATGTCTTTATTATGGATATTGTAGCCCCTTTCCCCTCCAAATGTAGCCTACATCTATTTAGGAGTCCACATCTGGAAAATCCAGTGGAAGTGCAGCTGTCCCGCCGTCCACAGGCGTCTTAGGTGTCCTTGGTGATGTTTTCTGCTGTCCCTGCAGGGGGAGAAGGAGATGTGGCGGGGGAGCTCCTGCGACTCTCGCTGGAGGGCGCTGTGGAACGTTAACCTGCTGCTCCTGGGTCGAGCGCCTCCCTTCCTTCTCCGTAGTGGGTCTCCCAAATTGATCTGGGCAAAATCACAACATTCATGTGTAGCAGCCTAAAAACTGCTGCTAGTAAAGCAATCCAGGACTGAGAAATGTAACTTTTAAAATGCAAATAGAGCCAGTGCTCTGAAATAGAGCTCATTTTAAATAAATGCAGTAATTAGTTGTTAGAGTGCTCCTGATTACCTTAGCTACAGCAGGTTGCCTTTGTCTTTATGGCAGTACTTTGATTCCAATCAGAGGTTTCACATGAACTTATTTTGGTATTTTCAGTGAAGTCTGTGAGTAGAAAACGGATGCAGTCCTAAAGTAATTACTGACCGTTTTTCATCCGCAAAAGAGAATTAAGATTGGAGATGCGTGTGCGGTGAGAGAAAGTCCCAGCAAGATGATCCAGGCCTTCAGACATGTCCATTCGTCCATTCATTCACTCCCTGGGCTCTTCACTGGGCTACAAACATGAGGCCACCACCACTTGATGAGGTCACCATTTACGTGTAACAGTATCAGCTGGGGAAAATTCAGACCCAAATTTCTGAGAGTACAATTTATTTTTTCAGGGAAAGTATTCCCTTTTTGTAAATCCTGGGAAAAGACTGAGAGAAAGCTCAAGGGGCAGTGATAGAACTAAAGAGACGGCTGGGTAGAATGTTAGTTGGCAGCTGTCTGGTCTGCTGGCAGCCTGCTGGGGGACAGAGAAGAGGGAAGATGTGGGTAGGGTGGGACCAGAGCCCCCGGGTCCTGCTGTTGTCTGTGGATGAGCAGTAACCCAGTACAGACACCCCCAGCCCAGACTAGTTGTGTGCCCATCAGCACAGGATTGTCATGGGGTGGGTCACCCTCAGTGAGGGGATTTGCATCAATACAGCCTGTGTTTGGTACCCTGGTGACTGAAAGAATTGTCCTGAAAGCTTTTTTTTTAAACCAGTAAAAATATAATTTGAGTGGGGGAAGAATAAAAGCTGTTCTCTTAAATCATGGGTGTAATGACCTTCTTCCCATTGGAACAAGAACATCTTCAGGGTCTTATAGCAGAACAAGAAAGCTTAATAAAAATGTACTTTCCTCTGTTATTTTCAGCCTAGATTTCTCTGTCAGGAGATAAATGCTTAATAATTTGTGGCCACTGAGAAGTGTCATGGTCCTTCCCTCTACCCTGCCCCGACTAGAAGTTAACCCCAGTGTGTTCCTGGTTACACTCCAACTTAGTCGTGACTGCACTTTTCTAAGTTTTCTCTGGGGATTTGGTGAGGTGGAAGATCCTTCTCTTTGTCTTAAATTCTGTGTATGTGCAATTAATCAAGACATTAGTCTCCTGGAAGTATTTCAAAGATAGAAAAGTGTTGGAAAGGAATTTTAGGAATTTACGACATGGGGTGCTGTCAGGTGGTGCTGGCAATAAGAAATTGTCTTGAAGAGAGCCTGTTGGTTCCTTTTCAGCTTTTGAGCTGCATTGTTCCTGGGACTGCCTTCTGTGCAACTACTAGCTTCTGTCCCTTGAAGGTTTTCCTACAGTATTTTCCCAGTTTCATAGAGAAATATAGACACAGGACACCGTATGACTTAGGAGACCATGTTGTGTTTTGTTCTGGATATATGCCCGATGTGAGATCCTCCCTCTTAGGAAATGATTTATTTTACTTTGATAAGTTCTACAAGGGCCAAAAGTGGACCTCTTTCTTTTTTTTTTTTTTTTTTTTTTTTTTTTTTTTNCTGCCGAACCTGTAAGCTACTGGACCTGTAAGCTGCTGCTGCTGCTGACTGAGCTCATGTCATCTGCCAACAGCTCCTGGGATCTTTCCCAATTACCTAGTGTGGACCTGCGTCTGAGGGGTCTGGGACCCAGCCTGGCATGTGAGGGGTCTGGGGACCCAGTCTGTACAATGGGCTCGAGGGGTCTGTGAGCCCTAGCCCTATTGGTAGTCGTTTAGCTTGACAATTGGCTATGTCAGCAGGATTCCAACATTAGCCCTAGCTTTACGATAACTTTTATGGAATCATATATATTAACTTGATATGTGATAGGCACTGTTAGGTTCCATACCTGTATTACTAATTTAATCATTTTAACAACCAACAACCCTACAAGGCAGTATTACAGTTGAGAAAATTGAGGTACAGAGGTTAGAAACTTACCCAATGTCACATATCTAGTAAATGGCAAACCTGGGATTTGAAGATAGTCTGTCTGGCTTCAGACTCTGATCTACCAAGCACACCATACTGACTCTTGAAATATTTCAAAAAATTTTTAAAATAAAGGCAGGGGGGCAGGACCAAGCAGGGAGGTAAAATTATCTAACATTACACAAATCAATGAAAAGGCACTTCAATAATCTTTCCTTGCCTTCTTTTACTTCTATTAGGAAATACTTAAATTTCTGACTAGACAGATGTCTTAGCAAAAGCCAGAGAACCCTGCCCAGACCTAGAGACCATTCAACACTGCCACACGGTGGTCACACTACAGTAAAAGCCAAGTTATCTGGGGTCGGCCCATGGCTCACTCGGGAGAGTGTGGTGCTGACAACACTAAGGCCACAAGTTCGGATCCCATATAGGGATGGCCGGTTAGCTCACTTGGGAGAGCATGGTGCTGACAACAGCAAGTCAAGGGTTAAGATCCCGGGTGAACCAAACAGTAAACTGTGAAGACTCTTTTGAGAACTCAGGTCTTCAAGAAGTTATCTGGAAGGCAATGCAAAGCAGAATAATTAGTCCTATGAGTGAAGAAGTTTTTTCATTTAGAGTCTGAGCTAATAATCCTGAGGGTTTAGATTGTTGTTGAATTATTACCTGCATAGGCAGGACCATATAAAAAAGGGCAAATCCCAAAATGAGTTATAACCCACACACATGAAATAAAAATTAACTCCAAGCCTCTCACCATATTATGTAAGAGCAAAATTAAGACTAGAAATCAAATGTAATATGTGCTTCTAGAAAATGTGTTGGTGGATTCTGAGTGTATCTTCGGGGTAGGTCAAAGGCCATTGTGGATTGCTGGGCCTGAGGGAGGTGGCTGACAGCCTCCTTCTAAGATCCTGCACAGCTCTGCCTCCATGTTTCACATCCAGGCACAGCATGCCCCAAAGGTTTGAGGAAACTGACGACTTGGACAGGGTAGTGCCACATTTCATGACAAAGAGAACTTAACCCAGCAAGTAAAAAGCTTTTGGAGAAAAATCAACTGAACAGTTTTTCAAATGGGTACTTTATTTTTTGAATAATAGGAGGCTATTTTCAGTCCTGTCATGTTTCTGAATTTTATGATTTTATTTTCCTTCTTGGAAGTTCCTGTGGGGACCTCCTCATGCCTACAAAAGAGTGAATATTCCAATGGATAAATCAATCCTTACATTTCTGTAGCAATTTCTTCTTTACAAAGAGGTTCTATATCTATAACGTCATTTGATTTTCAAGCTATTTGAGTCATAGGAAATAGAAATAACTACAACAGCAACAACATTGAATGTTTTATGCTAATGAAAGAAGCCAGTAGGAAAGACCACATGTTATAGATTCCATTTGTATGAAATGTCCAGAAGAGGCAAATCCGTAGAGATAGAAAGTAGATTTGCCAGAAGTTGGGGGGATAGGATAATGAAGAGTGACTACCAGTGGGTATAGGGTTTTTTCTTTGGGTGATGGAAATTAGATAGCTCTGGAATTAGATAGTGGTGGTGATTGCACAGTTTTGTGAATATATGAAAAACCACTGAATTTACACTTTTAAATAGTGAACTTTATGGGATGAGAATTTTATCTCAATTTTTTTAAGTTGAGAAAGAAAAAAATTGAGTGCTTATTACGCACCAAGACAGGCTAAGGACTTGACTTGCCTCAAGCCAATTACCTCACCTAACAATCCTGACAAGCTTATGAGATACTACCATTTCCTCATTATACAGATGGAGACAGGCTCAGAGAGGTGATCAGTCCACAGTGATGTGGTAAACAAATAAGCACCAACCAAAATTCAGATTTCTGACCCTCACTTTCCATATCAGACCCTTGACTGTCATCCCAGTAATTCAAGGGGCTATTTCTGAGTGCAGTTCATCTGATATTCTTTCTTTTGCTCAACTCTCCTAATAACAGATCTTTGCAATGCCTTACACCTCTACCTTTTATGATCTTTTTTGGGAGGATTCTTTTCTCCCAATTTTTGAGAATTAAACATACCA